ATATATATAAAGGATGGGGTACAAATCTGCTAACCATATACTTTTTCCCAAAAAAATGATGTTCATTTTAATTAGTACTGACTCAGACCTCCCTTCACTCTTTATCTAGTAATCACAGCCAGGCACCACCCAGTGGTTAATCTAACCAGCATAGATTAGTTAAAAATACAAAGTAGATCAAAAAGGGCAACTCCAGCAAAAAACAGTAACTATACAGATCCTGCCCACAAAGACAGACACACACACACACGAATATATATTAATAAATTAGTGACAGTGCATTTGCAGGTGCTCTAGTACAACACCCCAGGCAGCCCTGCACATGCAAGGTCCCCATTATGTGCATGATCACCCACTTGGGCAGTGTGGCTGGTAGCCCTGTCAAGACGTCAGATACAGTGGCAACACAGAGCCAAAATGAAGCTGTCCTAAACTCCTCTTTGGCTCCGATAGCCCATATAGCCACAATTGCATATTTGCTACCCATGTATTGTCACAATTGGCAGTGTTCTGTCCACTTGCTGCCCGCATATTGTAACAGACTATTTGCTGCCTCTGTATTGTGTACAATTGCCCATTTGGGGTCCATGTATTATTTAGATTGCATTTTTTGCCCAAAGGACCATTTAAAAAGGACTAAACAAGTATACATTTTGTCCCCAATAGGCCTGCCCTAATCAATGGACACCACTATAATCCTCCTGTTTTAATCATATTTATTATACACAAACACTTTTTTTTTGTTCCTGCTTATTAGTAATCATTTCATGATTATTGATGTATGGGGTGGGGGTGTAAAGAAATACAATTTAAAAAAAAATGGCTTGGGTATCAACTGCACTAGGTACACCACTGGCCGATGGACCTACATAGCAGCAAGCAACTAGCATTCGCAGAAGGTGGTCTACAATGAAAGCCTCGCCATTTCTCTCATGGTTTCATTTGAGTGTGGGAACGACACAAAAAAGAATCAGTTTGATATACTAGCTAAGTTCCTGGACACATTTAGATATATTTTGTCTATTAGGTCACATTATTATGCACACAGGAGTTCTCATGCATGCAAAGAGATCTAAAATAGCAAATGCTGTACAGAGGTGTTTGAGCAGGATGTAACAAAAAACATTGCTTCATTAGGAGGAGGAGGAAACAAAAAATAAAAACTTAGTGATATTTTTTTTATTGAATTAAAGTGAAATTGATAATTCCCTCATTTTGCCCACTATGAAAACAAAAATGTATGCACAGAGTACAACTGAGAAGTGTGGACATGATGGGAGTCTTCATTAAACAACAAACTTGTTCTTAGTGAGAGAATTGCTCTTTGTGGCTGTATCTGCATGTGCTTGATAACCAATGACTACCTTGGAAGACAGGCCAAGTCTCTCCTTATACACACGACTGCAAAAAAAAAAATAAAAAAAATACTGTAACTTAACAGTAGCATTTTGGTCATACCAGGTGTTATTTCCCACAATAAGCTTAGTCATATCTGCCAAAACATACAAAATCTGCACATTAAGTTAAATCGACAAGCATTAAACGAAGATGGGTCAACTGACCAGCAATAGAACTGCAGGATAGGATCCATTTGGGGAACTCTGCACCCTCACGTTTAAAATAGTTTAAATTAGTTCCCTACTCCCAGAGTGGTGTAACCTGAATACACTGGGATAGCACTTCAGCATAGGGTGGGACCAGGCTGCCTCCAGGCAGGGAGCTGCTCTGTTCTCAGAAGTGTGAGACACACATGATAGAAACTGTTTTAACAAATATTCTCAGGTCGGGTTGTCACTTAGCCAGGATGGTATAAAATGGTGCTGGTTACGATTTTATCAAATAGGAAAAATCAATAGGATCATAAAGCCAGATTCTTATTAGAAAAATGTAATCACATTAGCGCTAGAGAAGTTTTATACTAGGCAGGCCAAAGACTGGCAAAGGTCATTTTTAAAACTTGTGTTGCTCTTTTAGGTTCAGCACAAACTGCTACAAATCAGCCGTATAAGCTTGCAGAGGCTTGTTCTTGTGTTGCACCAATAAAGTGAATGCAAATTAGAACTTTTACACATATTTCCTCATAAAATGTAATTTATGTTTACCATATTAGGATCGCAGCAGACCTCAGAGAAAATTCTGAGCTGAAAAAAATCACATTTGCAGCCACACAGTGATGACCACTTAGGAGCTGCATTCAGGCAAGTATGCAAAATTAGAAAAATGCTCGCACCAATTCTCCAGGATTCTGAATATGAACCATTTAAGAGCATTTCTGCAATTAATAAAAAAAAAAAAAAAAAAGGTACAGCGCAATGCTGACAGACTCTCTTAACAGTATAGAAGCAAATGCTGAAATTGTAGACCTCAATAGTCCTTCCACACCATGGATCTTTGGGCTTTCTGAGGTAGAAGTTAATTCAATAAACTTGTCAATGAGAATTTGCATGCAAGAAAGCAAATGAACAATAAAATAGCATATCAACACATGTTTGCAGCTGTTGCAGCCTTAGAAGTGCCAAGATCCCACAGGCCCAAGTGCTGCCGTTTTTTTTTTTTAAACTAAAAACACAGTCATTATCTATATATCCGTTTTACCTTCTATTGTAATGACTACTGTAAAATGTAATAATATTTGAGCAACCCAAATGGTCCCTTAACATTTAATCAAACTACATCTTGTCTTGCTCTCATTTAGTATCAATAAAAAACGATTTTCAAAACTGTATTGCTTTATTGTATATAGGTTGAATAAACCATTTACAATAAAGTATTAATGCTCCTTAAATAGCTTATGCTGGGAACCTCAACTTGTCAACTTAATGTATACCATTATTAAAACTGCAATAATCAATATGCTTGGTTTCTCAACAGTTAAGCAACCAACAAGTGTAGTTTTTCTTTGCAAATGCTATATAAAAGTGAATGCCCCTAGCTACCCCAATTCCACCCCTCTTCAGATAAGAGGCTGGGGAATGTGCATTGTTACATTGTCATTGTGTCCTTGTCACCATGGCTTGTTACAAAAACGTACCCTGTAAATTGTTACAGCATGGTTACAGTCACATTTTCAAACTATCTAAAAATGTAAACTGGTACAAACTTTCTGTTCCGATGATGTAGTGGGCTCTTCTGTTTCATCAGAATACTCCTCATCTAGCATGGCAACCCCCACCCATTGTTTTTCTGGGTACAGCCTCTCTCCTGCTCACATACATGTACCTAGCTGGCACCTTCCACATTTTGTGGCCTGTATAATAGTTTGGGAACAATATTACCTTAGGCTACAGTTCAAATGCTGGTAAAACATGCGAGTGGATTAAAGTGCCTCTAAAGCCATTTTTTGTTTTGGACAGTCCGGTGATGGTTTCAAGCCCCTGTTGGATTTTTATTGTTATCTGTCTCCCAGTTAGGTCTTCCAGAAAAGGACACGTGTTCTGGTGACAACCTTTAGGAAGGGATATCTCATTTTTTGAGAAATTGCTCCAAAATACCACCGATCATATCCAACATACTGTACCTAGCCTGATCAAACCAAAAATTAACTGGGATTGGGCAATTATCCGATAATCATATCTATGAAAAATTGCAAACCTAAATATAAAAGAGCTAGAACTCACCCAATGTAAGTGACAGCCTCTCTGTTTTCTGTCTCTCTAGTCCAGATTGCAATTTTGTCTCCTTTTGCACGAATGTTAATTACAGCTCCACAGACCTCCTCACTGTATTCATCAAAAGCTTCACCAATTAGACACAGCAGCTGGAAGAGAATAATGGTGAAATATTGATTTTAGATAGCCACATATATATCTGAAAGGCTTACAGGAAAGAACATTTAGGTACATAGGAGATTCAGCATACGGGGCTACTGCCAGCACTGCATACAGTGGTCGCCGAATTTCTACCAGGCAGTGGTAAACAGTTTATACGATCATTCACATTCAGAGCCGACAAGAAGGCAAACAGGATTTGTCTTGCCTTCCATTCAATTCAGATTCCGTATCTGTGCACAAAGCAAACGGTTTTTCCCATAAGGCTCACAGATACAGAAGCAGTGGAGTTTTATTGGCACTATGGGGACTCTAAAACCTTGCTGAAACAGACATTCGCCAAATATACAATTCCATATTTCAACGGCAACATCTGAATGGATGTTGATAAAAGGTGGGCATTTTGTTTGTCAGGAATTAATGTGTATGTAAATGGACAATGGTCTACTTATTTGGTTCCTTTGGGCCTTCTAAATATACCATTTAAAAAGGGTTTTGTTAGATCTGTTGGAGAAGGTCAAGAAATACATGTTGATCTTACCTGAAATTTTCCAAGTTGCCTGTGCCGACTATCATCAATAATATTGTTTGCCATCATTTGAGGACTACACAACGATATGCCTCTATTTGGAGCGGGGTAGCGTTCTGTAGTCCAACCTGGTTTCTGTTGCAGATGGGCAGGGGGGTAGGAATAAAGCAGTCACCACGTTTAACCACGTCAGGACCACCAAACTTATGTAAGCAGTACGGTCCTGAAGCAGTTATACAAATATCACGGCTGCTGTACCATACCAGCGTTCGGGCAGCTAGAGAGCCGCCTGATTGCTTGTATGGAGCTGGGGAGTGTGTGCCCCACCTCCAACTAGCCCAGCCTCCGCTGTCCCCTGTGCAGGCTGAGGACTGGCACAGCAGGAGGGAGATCAGTGCATTTCCAGGTGCCTGATCTTCCCTCCAATCACAACCCTGCAGTGATGTGTATTATATCACTTCAGGGCGTCATTTTGCTGGCTGCTGTGGGTGGAGAAGCATGATCTGTGTTTAATCAGCTTCTTTGGATTCCATAGGTGACATTAGCCCTGATGTCTCCATAAATAGGACCTGCCACATCCCTTTGCTATCACATGGGTGGGAGGCGAGGGGGGGGGGTGTTAGCCCACTATGTGACAGCAATAAAACGTAAAACAAAAAACGTTAAAGTCTCCTCCCCCCAAATGCATACAAAAACAGTTTTGGGTATTGTAGTTTTTTTTTGCCATTTCACAGGCGCACATAAAAAAGCGCTAAAGCATGTGTGGTATCTATTTACCAGATACAACCCCATGTTTTATATTTTACACAAAAAAAATGTATGCATTATATTCTGTTTCTATGTACTAAAATTCATTTTAGGGTATTTTATCTAAAAAATATTGGTTTGATAAACATTTTGCAAATATCGTGCAACATAAAAAATTGCAACTAGCTTTTTTTTCATATTTTACATCTCTCTCTCTCCCCCCACACGTTTATATTATAAAAAATTATCATCTATCTACACACATTTTTATATTATACACACACATACCGCACACACACACGGCTGTTTTCTAACAAAAATATTATATCTATCTCAGAACAAACTTTTCAACTGCACAGAGAGCTAAACATGTACAAATTCCTCTGTTTTGCAACAGTGAAAAATGTAACATGTCATTCATGTTCAGTAGCTGCTCTGCTTCATTCTTGTTTAAACTGCACACAATGAAGTCACCGTATGTCACCTAGTCTGTTTTTCACGTTGCCCAGTGATATTTTCCACACCATAGGTGTCCGTACCTTTATAGCCAGAACACTACAGGAGACACACAAATAAAACATTTCAGTTATCACATCCCTGCAAAACTGAAGGAGTGGAAAGCTATAAAAATGGAACCCACCCAACGTTCTTTTCGATGGCTAGTTTACTCTAAAAACACAATACAATACATGATAACTGTACTTATTATACACTTACCGTCTCTAGCCAAAGTGTGTCCAAATCACTATGCCTTTGCTGCTTTGACAGAGTGATCAGCCATCTCCCACCTCTTTTGTTCCTACTGTCTTCCCACATGGGTTCAATGCCATCCTGCACATGATATTACATATACCATTACAACAATGGTGGTCATGATTTGTTAAAATCATTGACATTCTTCTTTTAGATTAGCACAACACGGAAGTAAAAAAAAAAAAAAATAGACATTCTTAATTGAAGCACACAGTCAGCAAAATACTTTGGCATTCAGACATTTCCTAGTTGGATAAAGTGACATATTTTAAGGAGTCAGTTATTGTTCACTAAAGCAAAACAAACGACAAACGCACTCAACAATTTGTTACCAGTTATACAGTAAGGTGCACACAAAATGGGCTTTGAACAGTAGAACAGTAGAAAGGCATCATGGCACACTCACAAACCAGCATGTAAAACAACTTGTCTCACCACTAAGGACAATGACAGAGGTTTGGATACACGTCTTCTTGAAAGGATGTGTAAGCCGCACTGCCGCGCCAAGGCACCTCTTATAGTGCGGTCCTAACTCTAAACTATGAGAGTCTCCATCTTGGAGCACATGGGGGCAGAAGATATCAAATTGGGTGCAGGTCTGTCAGGAGGACGCCCAACCTCCTTAAAGGTACAGAAACACACAAGGGATCCCGCACATCCCATTGGCAGCTGAGAAACCCCATGCGTCGCTGCACCAAATCGGTAAAGAGTTAGGACCGCACTATAAGAGGTGCCTTGGCGCGGCAGTGCGGCTTACACATCCTTTGCAGAAGACGTGTATCCAAACCTCTGTCATTGTCTTTAGTGGTGAGACAAGTTGTTTTACATGCTGGTTTGTGAGTGTGCCATGATGCCTTTCTACAGTTATTGTAGACTGTTAATTTGGTTGGCTGCATTCATACTATTGTGCACATTTTTTTAATGTATGTTAACACTTAGTGTTGCTGCATGGCCATTTATTTTCAAATGGCACCCCATGTGCATACATGGCAAAAAAAAAAAGGCACACCCTGCACTCAGCAAAAAAACTACTGTAAGTATGGGGAGGGGAATTCCCAACTTTGACAGCTGTCAGCAACAGATGTGCCTACAGGGGGATTTCATCAGGTCAGAAATGGAGAATTCACCCACTGGGTACAAGGTACAAACAGAAACAGGTTTGTCCCTAGACCTTGGCCAGCATGACTGCCAGGGTGATGCCTAACGGCCCAGGCCATGTGAAATTCATGTTGCCTATTTCTACACACAGCTTAATGTCAGCCAAACCACATTGATCCCTTCCTTCTGCATACTGGAGAAACAGAAGAAAAAAAAAACCCACCCACACACTATAGGCGCAAAACCAGGGTCCATCTAGTATAGAAGACTGGAGTTAGCTTGCTTATTAAAATAATAAACATTATGTTTGGTAAGAAGACAGATGGGACTAGATGGAAGGAACAGTCAACACCACAGGGCAGCTGCCTCTCCCTGCTATTGCATGGCTGTTGAGATCTTTTACTGTCTCGCCACTTCAAAGACAACGTTTTTCTTAAAAAGAAATGCGAGTGCTTCCATTTAATCCCCGATGAAGAGTTTCGAAATGCCCCGAGACACGGAACATGAACCATTGGTCTGCCTATTTTGTCCAATAGAAGTCTGCCTCTCCTGACGGGAGCTGCTGACTCCATCAGCAATAGAGATCTAAGAGGTTCTAACCTTTTCTCCCTCTATACTATACTAAAACATGGGAGTAAAGTGTGACAGGGGTTCCGATTTAAAAGAAGGAACCTAAAGGAACCCCCCCCCCCAAAAAAAAAAATACACCACAGCCATGTCTGGCTGTCATGCCAAAATCTGTATCAAGCAATGGAAGCCAGGCAAATAGCATTTTTAAAAGGCCAGTAACATCAACCTCAGTTCTCTCATGAAAGACTGGTTTTATGTGAATGGTAGGCGTTTTCTCACCTTAAATATTGAGTAGTCACAACCAGAGGACAGTTTGCTTGCTAGCTGGATATGTGTGTAGAGTCTGAAGGAGAGAAATCACAGATGGTCATCACTGCAAACCTTTTTACAAACATTTACCACCTTCACCCCCCTTATCCCCAAGTGAAAACAAATATTTCAGACCCTCTAGTGGCAATCAAAGAAATCCTTGTTCAAAATGTCTTTTTGTATAATAGCTGTAGAAATATTTTGATCTTATAGGAGCACCACTCCTTGAAGCTGAGGTCCCCCAAGCAGCTGGAATTTGGCTTTAAGATGAGAACGTCAAAATGTTTTAAAAGGTCATTTAAAATGGATGCTGCTCCTTGATGTTTAAAACGTTTCCCTGCAGAATTATCTGGTGCCCCGAGCACTGGCCCTGATATTCTGTTTTAGGGTGGCTCCTTTCCCTTGCAAGATTCCTATAGAGCCACCCTGGTGTGTGCGCATCTCTGCAAACACTCAAGAATAGCATAGCAAACCACTCCCCTGTTGCGTGTTCCACCTTCTCCCCTCCAAACTACCAGATGGATAGCTACTGGGGATTGTTCTGTCCCTTGTCATTTTGTACTCAACAGGAAGTTCATGGAAGTAGAGCTGCGAGTTGGAGCCAGCCATTTGGAAACCTGATTTCTAAGCGCTTGGGCATGAATTTAAAGAAATACTTTTCTGGGCAATGTATATTTGTTGCATCTAGATTATTGAAAAAAGTTTGAGATTAATACTACTTTTACTGCTTATTCTAGCCATGCAAGTTATTAGTTGATTGTTTCAGTGAGTCAATTCACTCGCTGTCTGCCTCTGTTTCAGTGAGTCATTTCACTTGCTGTCTGCCTCATTTTCTTAACAGAATATTTACCAGAATTATTGCAAATTGAGTGTTTGCTCTCTCTAATGGCCAATCTGGAAATCACTACATGTAATACCTTAACAAAAATGTTGAAGAACAAGCATGTAGAAATGTGAAAGTCACATCAGGAACTACTTTCATGTAAACACATTGCTATCTTTTGAGGGTGTAGACTGGCATTACATACTAGCAAAGACAGATTTTTGCTCCCTCGTGGACTGCCATACTGTCCCAGATTGCAAATAGGAATTGTTTATGTTATTAAACCCAGTACTACACACAAAGCCATTTTACAAGGATCATCATTTCAAAAGATGATAACTATTACCAGGTCTTTAGAGATCCATTGATTCACTGTATACCTCTTGTATGTTTTTTTTAGTGACCAGCATGCCAACAACCTCTGAGAAAGAAACCTTTTGGCCAAGAATAGCACAGTGTGAAAGTTATAAAGATCTAGAAAAAAAACTCCAATACTCACCTTCACAACTAATACAGAAATTGAAAGAAAAAAAAAAAGATACATTTCAGAGTTGATACACTTACGCCCAGAAGTCTTCCACTGTGTTAAAGGTTGTCACAAGACGCAAGTTACACTGCCATGGTTGGCTTTTGACATTTTTAAAGAACCAAAGAGCCCACCTAAACAAATGGAAAATACAGTTAAGGGGGAGAATGAACTCTGCCTTCCTTTTTTTCGGCACAGCTTCCAGAGGACAAAATCACTAGTCACCAGTATTGCGTGTGGCCTCAAGTTTCTTTCCCCATTACTGACCTGCCATGCACATTGTCTCTGTGTCGAGGTGGTCATCTTGGTAGAGGTAGGTCTCATACAAGAGCCTCTAGCAAGGAGAGCTGCAAGAAGCACAGTAGTAACAAAATCTCACAGGCAGCCAGCACAGTGCCATAGATCTCATACTGCAGATATACAGCTATATAGGTTGTATGCACAGGAGTGCCTAAGCACCCTCACATACCAGGATGTGCATTTCAATTTTTTCCAGGAGGAACTGCAGACAAAAGATACATTTTCAGTGTACTGCTTAGGTTTATTTAACATTTCTATATATCCCCATAACATAATGAATCTTCACCGAGTATTTATTGATTCACTTTGAATCTTTCTAAGCCAGGAAAGGTAATTTAAGGTTACCCTGTTTAGAAGATCTACAAAAGCGATTTGACCCTTATGTTAATTCTTACCTTTTACTGGCTTCAATTTATGCAAGACAGGCTCCTATCAAGCTGTCTGCAGAGTTGTATTACACTAATCTGGAGTGTTGGTGGTAAGGCACTGGTCCTGTCAGTGTGCTCAGAAATGTGATCATGCCAGTGCATGCATTGTTCCATCTCAGATCACTTTCTACACATAGTGACCACAAACATTTCCCTGCTGCCTGCATATCCAATCAACAAACGGAAATGCTAGGGATTTTAAATGCAAAGCCTTAGAGTTTCCGGGTAATCAATATATTTCACAATATAAGTGGACATTAGAAATATAATTATAACTCTGCTAGGTTGGGTATGAAGCAGTGGGCAGAGCTGCGGAGCACAAAGGGAAGTACCCATTAGCATATAAGACCATGCCATTTTTGAGTATTATCAGACAGTCTTATTTCCTCTAAAGGATTGGCAAAATTTTGGAAAAAGGGTGAGTGGAGGAAACCTCTGCCTATTCAAAAGTAGTGAGCAATGAAGCAAGGAGCTGATGGAGCAAAGCATAGAACAATGCAATCTCGGTTCCTCCACATCCATGCTTATTAGATCAGTTACAATAGCATGCTTTAGTGAACTGGCCCTTTAAAAGAATTATGAGAATTAGGGAAAGTGATCAGAAAGAGATGCAAAGTAGAGCAAGAGTTGTTTTTCCTTTACTTCTGAAGAGAAGACTCTTTTTAGGGGACAGTCTCATAGCCATTATTGGGCACAGCTACCTTTGTTATAAGATGCTTAGACCTTGACTGCAATTCTGTGAGAATATCTGCATAACATAAGTGGATAGACAGGGGAGCTCTCCGCACACCTTGCAGCAGTCCAGGCGAATAAGGAAGATGTGCTCGCAGTGACAATCACGCATTGGCGCCGTGTAAATACAAAGTAGAAAAGTAAATCACCAGCACTCAGCGATATAATTCAATATGTCCATTTATTGGACAAAGACGTCACAATAGTCAGAGCCAACTTTTGAGACCGCACAGGGTCCCTTCTTCAGGGCAGACGTGACGTGCGCTGAGTGCTGGTGATTTACTTTTCTACTTATCTGCATAACATGACTTGAGCTCCCCAAATACAAGAAGCATTTCTTTCTCCAAGGTTCATGGTTCTCACTGGTGCCAGCTTTCCATCAATGCTTATGAGATGGCCACCTTTGAAGGTCTTCTTTAGTTATTTCACAGCCCAAGGATTAGGTGTACCTGCTTTGGAGAGGATGTTTCTCCACGTGCACTGGAGCAACCACGTCCTTTTTCTTTCTTCTTTTTTCATTGTCTCTTCGGGGAAGACCTTTAAATGTTGCCTAAAGAAGGAGGAAATTGCTCTACCAAAACAAATCATATACGACTGTGAGCTCAAAGATTACTGAAGTCAAGTGCAGCATGAACACTGGGCAGTGGGCAGCTTATATTTGAAATATAGAACCGGATCCAAACATGGGACATTTCCAAGTGATTTTCTTAGCTCACCAGTTGTGTGAAAGTAGCCACCACTCAAATTTCACTGACATAATGGACTACAATCTCAGGTTTCGTTTACGACTTTGTATGGAGATTGTGGTCCATCACGGGAATGAGCTTGGAGCGGTGGCTACTTTACAACACACACATTGACCATGGGGGAACAAAAGTAGCCCCCCTCCAGAAGGAAGGACTGTGTCAGTACCAATTAGAGGATCTACAGCTAAACGATTTACATTTTTGTTAATAGTTAAAAAGGCACTTGAATGCATTGTTAAAGGTTCAAAAGGAGAACTAGGAGGTGAGTGAAAAGTCATCCTCATAGTTCGAGCCGACGTGCGACAATGAAACTGTCACACGTCGGCTCAATAGATCGGGAAGTGAGCGAACACACACCGTCGCTCGCTCTCTTCTCGATCATCTCCCTCCAGAGAGCAGTGACTCAGTCGCAGCTCCCTGCAGGGATTTCCCCCCCTCCCCAATCCTCCAGCGCTGACTGGAGGAACGGACGGGGGAGGGGGGCAGGTACAGCTGGCTCTGCCTCTAGATAGGCAGAGCCCGCTTTCATTCACGCAGTTGGGTGGATCTCGACAGCATTGTCGGGATCCGTCCTGGCTGCAGCAGTCTCAGTATACCGCGAGCTGTAGCTCGCAATATATTGAGCTTTGGGTCACAGGAGGACGCTAGTATATGTCCTCCCGTGACCCTTAGAGAACTATGGGGAAAAACAGTTACCCCATAGTTCTATTTAATTAAAAACTTTAATTTAAGTTTAGGGTTTTTGTAAAAGCATCTTTTCCTTAAAATGAGGCTACCATTGCAGACTTCTTTCTGCAAATTCTAATCATCCGACTGTCACGCAGAACCTCTTGCTTCAATAGTCACTAACTTAGAACAAGATTTCAGATAATATTTTCTATTTTTGCAAACTTAACCATTGAAGCTATTGGGTTGCAACACCCAGGCAACTAGTATTTTCAGAAGGTGAGCAATGGCAGAATTCATTTTTCTAAGGAAAGGTTTATTTTAACAAGGCGCTCAAGTAAAAAATGTAAACATTTGTATTCAAAATGCACATGTGCTGGATCATGCAAGTCAAAGCACAGGTGTACCTTAATCTTTTTCAGTTTACACATGTCATGTTGCCCCAACTTTAATCCCAGAATTTTTACATCCAGACATATCTGTTTGTCAAAGCTCACACAAGAGATAGAAATGGGATGGTCTTTTCCTCCACTAATAATGATTTCATGGTTATATGCCTGGCCAACTGCTCTTGGGGCAGCAATCAATAGGGCAGATTAGAAAAAAGAATTCCCTATTACCATTGTTTACCCTGTAATTACAGTAATGTCTGCCAGCACCTTCAGCCACTACATTTCCCTGCTGCCCCTTTAATCTCCCGATTTACATGAAAATCAATGTTCGGCCAAGCTGAACTTTCAAGTTTATCAGAATATTGACCTGCATGTACATACTACAGTTTTATGGGCAGCTAAAAATCTCTATTTATATCATTATTTAGAAAGTCACGAGTTCAGTCTTCACAATTGCCATGAAATTTTGCAAAGTTAAAAGTCCACATGCACTATATTTGGCCAACAGAACACACCACAGCATACAGGGGGTTACTATGGGCAACCCCATTATGTTTGTGCGTTATGGTGACTATTCAGAATAAATAGTAACATACTACAATGTACATATATTGCACTTTGTGGTCCGTGTTCCCTACTACACCGATCGTGTAGTAGGGAACACAGGTGCCTTAGTGTCACAGCTTAACTGAGCCACAAAATTCAACCCCCCCTATTGGCTAATCACTGTAATGGGCTGCCTCACTGACAGATATCAATGTACAGTTGCCAGCATCTGGCGTTCGGCTGTTAGTTGCAGCCGCCTCTAATATCTTCACCAGTTTTTTTTTTCCTCCTAGAAAAAAAAAGAAGATTGGCATCCTCAAGTCTAATAGACCTTCCTTAGACATGATAACTCACGGTCCTTAGAACACTGGAGCAGAGGGGGAAGAGAGGCTGCAGGGACAGGGTCTAGAAGCCAGGCAGGATCAACATTCAGGTGAGCATATCTTTGTTTGTTTTTAAGCTTCCTGGACAAAAACAGAACTTATCCTTCGCAGTGTGGGGGTAGCTGCACTGCAAGGCCTATGCCTGAAGTTCTTTAAAAGGAGAACTATGGGGTTAAGGCTTTCCCCCATAGTTCTCCTTAGGGTAACGGGAGGACACAAACTAGTGTCCTCCCGTCACCCTAAGCTGCTAAGACGCAGCAGCTGAAGCGGGAGGAGGGAGGCAAACCTAGACTCCATGATTTAACACAAGAACTGTGTACAGAACACAGGTCAGGTCTAATTTTTTTAAACTACTCCAACCCCCCCTTCCCGTCCTCATTCTCTACAACAATAAGGGCTAATATTTATTTATTCTAGGAAAAGAACTAGGGAGGCAAACTTAGACTCCTTGAGATAACACAGGAACTGTGTACAGAACACAGGTCAGGTCTAAATGTTTGATATGACATAAATATAACATAATTTTGCACTTATCGATATATATTTAACAGCTCAAATAGAGAAGTTGATAGTTAAGGTTTAAAAACACATAAATCTTTCCTCTGTCTGCTCAACATAGCCACAGAAACTCATCTGAGACCAATACATATGGATTTTTTGTCCTCTAAGTGTAGCATGGGCGGTTACTTTACATAGACAACAAACTCATCTTTGTATTGACACGGAGAAGCCATCAAAATTTCCAAAACATGCAAGTAGGAAATCCCAAAGTTTCTTGCTGTGTTTAAAGGAGAACTATGGGGTTAGGGCTTTTCCCCATAGTTCTCCTAAGGGTAACGGGAGGACACAAACTAGTGTCCTCCCGTCACCCTAAGCTGCTAAGACGCAGCAGCTGAAGCGGATCCCGACAATTATGCCGGGATCCGCCCAGCTGCGTGAGTGACAGCTGCCTCTGCCTATCTAGAGGCAGAGCCAGCTGATAGGAGATTCCTCCATCCACACCGTTCAGCGTAGATGGAGGAATCTGTTGCACTTTTTCCATCTGACCATAGAAAATCTATTGGTGTATGGCCAGCTTTAGGCCTCATGCACATGGCGTTTGAAGCTGCGGGTGAGGATTCCTGTGCATTCTTGTAGGAGGAACCGCAGGTACGTCCATACAGATGCAGCCGCCGTGCCCCTTCAAGTTAATAACAGGTTGACGGTGGCTGCGTGTGTTAGTGATTCTCTGCAAGTAATCATAGCTGAAATAATCACCTGCAGATTGGGAGGAATGCAATCTGCATCCAGGTCTTTTTTTGTTTTGTTTACTTAAGCAGGTGTTAAAAAATAAATAAAATAAAAAACAAAAAACAAAACACACACTTTGAGCATGCAATAAGGTGTGCTGGCAACACAGATCACCAGCTTTAGTTCACAGATGGTTCAAATTGGTGTGCTGAAACAACCATTGGAGGTGCAAATAAATGGCACTGCATATTATGCATCATATGCTGAGGTAATGAACGGAAAAATGCACAATGTTTCCATGTTACCACAATGCACAGCTCTGAATGTTCCCCAAGCCAAATCACTTAAAACCATAGTAACAGTACTGCTCCCTTATCAACCTAGAAACTGCTTATAGGTTGTTGTTTTTTTTGGCTGTAGTAGCCTCAGTTCAGTGTAATGGCTATGCACTAGTGGGTTTAACCAATGATCTTCTGAATCATTTTTCTTTATGGTCCCTAGAATTGGGCAGGGGAGGAGAAACCCCTTTGCTTCCATACATTATGCCATATAAAAAAGGTATCTCATCTAAGGTATTAACTACATTTTAAAGATTCTAATTACTGGTAAGCAAAGATGTTGACATGCCTTACCCTGGCCAATTGCCAACAAAGGGGTTAATTATTTTTACAAGTGGTTAAACTGTGCAATTCAGCTGAAATTTTTTTTTTTTTCTATATTTGGCTAAATTTGTCTTTTTTTAAAATCAAGCTCCTGAAGACCACAGCTGCTTACAACAGAATTAGCACACAATGCATTTGTTTCTCAGACAAAAAAAATTACAGCAATAAAAAATGTAACTTAAAAGCTAGAGGGAGGGGG